TCTGGCTCGAGACTAGCGATACCAAAGAATGTGGTCTCGGCATGAATCCTTCCTCAATGTAGTCCAGCAACATTAGGCTAATGATCACCACCCATCTCCCCTTACTAACATCTGTATCAAACTCAAACTCTTGAGGCAAGCCCTTTAAGAATGGAACTCCACGACATTTGGGAATATCTTTACCCAAAAAAAGAGCTTAAATATGAGCTATCTTCACTTGATACATCGTTACAATCTCATTGGTGTCCAAACATGTATAAGCAATTTCAAATATGCAAATCCAAATTGAATCAAGCCTCTATTAGAGAGGAGATATTCTGGAAACAAAAAACTCGCATCAAATGGCTTCGAGAAGGAGACTCCAACTCCAAATTCTTTCATGGCATAGTCCACAGCAAAGCTACTAAAAATATATTGATAAGCTTGTCAGCCCCAATGGAGAAAACCTCCAAGGCCAAGAGGCTATTCATGTAGCTGATGTCTCCTTCTCCAAGCTCCTCTCCTCTGAACCCCATCATCTGAAGGAGGACCTGCTTAACCTTATCCCAAACAAAATCTTCGAAGATATTAACCTCATGCTTGTTAGACCCTTCGACCTCTCCGAACTCCACCACACAGTCTAATCCATTCCTCCAGATAGCGTTGTGGGTATAGATGGTTTCTCAGCATCTTTCTTCACTTCTTCCTGGGAGATCATTGGGTCATCTATCCTTGCTGCTGCCAATCACTTTTTGGCCAACAAGTGTCTCCCTGAAGCCATCTCCCATATAGTTCTTGTCCTCATCCCCTAAAAAAACCAAACATCAGTCTCAATGATTTTCGCCCCATTAGCTTATGCACCACTCTATACAAAATTTTTGCTAAGGCGATTTGTATGAGATTAGCTTCGGTCCTTCCTATGATCATCTCTCCCAATCAAGGGGCTTTCGTAAAAGGTCATAGTATTTCTGACAATGTGATGATTACCAAAGAAATTTGCCGAGACCTAGACAAAAAGGCCAAACACCCAAACATCATCCTCAACTTAGACATGCATATAGCATATGATCGTCTAGAGTGGGATTTCTTATGGAAAGTCCTCATACGTTTTGCTTTTTCTATGGAGTGGGTTAATCTAATCGAAGTTTACATCTGTAGTTGTCATTTCTCGGTGGTCTTTCAAAGGTCTTACAAAGGCTACTTCCCTAGCTCTCGAGGCCTTAAGCAAGGGGACCCTTTATCGCTGAGCCTGTTTATCATAGCAGAGGAAGCCCTATCATTAGGCTTCTCTCACCTCATTCCATCCTCAGCCCACTATTCCACGACCAATGCCGATTGTCCCACTCATCTCCTCTTTGCAGATGACCTGATCATTTTCGCCAATGCCTCCCGTCAGTCCCTCATATCCATCCTTGATCTCCTAGACAAATACATGCAACCCTCGGGTCAGCTTCTCAGCCGGGTCAAGAGCCGATACTATATCCAAGCCAAAGCTTCTCGATCCCGCATTAGTGGTAGAGTCCACTGTCAAGTTCCCTCGAGGAGTCTTTCCTATGACTTACTTGGGGTTCTCATAGGCCCATGCCGTCAGAAAATTGTATATTTCTTGCCCCTTATTGATAGAATCAAAGCTCGTCTTCAAGGGTGGCAATGTAAACTTTTGAGTAGTGCGAGTCGTATCATCCTCATTAAACATGTCTTAAGAAGCATGCACATTTACCTCCTCTCATCTACTTCCATCCCCAAATCTATCATCAAAATAATTAAGAGCTTGCTTGCAAACTTTTTTCTAGGGCTCCTCAAATTATGGGAGCAAGAAACATTGGCTTAGCTGGCACAAATTGTGCATTCCTATCAATGAAGGGGGTTTGGGTTTCCGCAAACTCTCTGATGTCAAAAAGCTTTCATTCTTAAACAATGTTGGCAGCTATGTACCTAATCATCAATTTGGGCCACATTTATGCTTGCAAAGTATAAAACTCAGACATCTCCTACAGCTTGGTCAGGCCCTCAACGGTGCTCAGTTGAGTGGAAGAACATTCTAGCCCTTTGACATGATTTTGCTAATAGATGTTCTTGGATCATTGGTAGAGACGTCTCTTTTTGGTATGACCGTTGGCACCCTAAGTTTCGCTTGGATCTCCTTAAACCTAATGGGGATATCTAGGTGAAACTTAGGGATTTCTTCCACAATGGTACATAGTAATTTGAGGATTTACTCCCCTCTCTCGATCAGGAAGTGGTGCAGTCTCTATATGCTCATGCCCCTAGGCTTTCGGAGGATGATGACAAACGCCAGTGGGCTCCTAAAATCACGGGGTCATTCTCCACCAACTCTGCATGGAACTCCATCCGTGATCACCACCCTCACATGCATATTCTTCAGGATATTTGGGCCTCTCCCATGCCATCCTCGACCAAGCTCATCTGCTGGAGGATCCTTTTCAACATCCTTCCAGTGGATAAGCGAGCGCAACATACTGGTATATCCGACAACCATCAAACTACGAGCTTGAATCACCTATTTGTGGAAGGTGAGCTAGCACAATCTCTATGGAGGTACTTCGGTATCATATTTGCAGCCCTTTCCTGCACAATCTATAACCACCAGAATTAAATGGTGGTTTCGGACTTATAAAGAAAAGTCTCATTTCTCCATTATGGGTAGGCTAGCTTTCATTGCCATTTGCCGCCAAATTTGGAGCTTCAGGAATAATACCATTTATGGGGGCATGAAAAAAAATCATATACATGCTAGGATGGTTATCATTGATGCATTGCAACATGTGGACCACCTTGTTAAACCTACGATACATTCATCAAAGTATGGTATCGAGTCCCTCCTTACTCTAGGTATCACCCTCAAAGCCCCAAAGGCCAAACGCGTCTCTCTATGCGTTTGGACCCCCCTAAAGGCCAACACATTTGCTCTCAATGTTGATGGATCGTGTCGCCAAAACCAAATGGCCATTGGGGGTGTGATCCGGGATAAGGAAGGAAAACTCGTTTGTGCATTTGCGGGGCCCAAAGGAGTGGGTACTAGTTTTAAAAGGGAAATTCATGCTTTAGATATCCGAGCAGAATTTATTGAGTAGTTGCAATTAAATCCCTCCATTGCGTACACTAACTCCAAAAGGCTAGCCATGAGCATAGGAAAATAATGCTCGCTTTGGCAACTCACTCGCCTATGGCAAGCCATGAATCATCGTCTTAGAGATATCCCTTTTATTCATTGTGCTCGAGAAGCTAATGTTGTTGCGGATGCTCTCTCTAAACTGGGGCACTCCTCCCAGATTCGTTATTTCTTTACACCACAAGAGTTACCAATTCAGATTCAAAAACTCTTGTGGCTTGACAAAATGGGCCACCATTTCTGCAGGGTTCGGTAATGTATATGGGTTATGATTGTATTTTGTTGTATATGTATATTTCTGGACTTTGCTGTCACTCTCCGCAGTTTCTGGATACAACCACTTGGTTTTTGGTTCATATTCGCAGCAGGGTATCAGGTTTAGGTTGGACATATGCCCAGGTGCGGACGGAGTGCTGCTGCTGATTTTTTGCAGCAACGGACCAGCCCTACGCTGCCAGTTCTGGCGTTTTTCAATTGCTGGCCTGGTGCGGAGTGTGCTGCTGGCCGTTCTTCTCTGCCAGTAGCGGTGTTTCTGTGTATGCGTGATTCTGGTGCATTGGTGCGCTGGTTTATGCTGCGTTTCTGGGTGCTTTGGAGGCTAGAGGGATCTGGCCAAGAGCTTGTAGCAGTGTGGACTGTGCGCTGCAATTTAGGGCTGATTGTTACTGGCCGAGAGATTACAGCAATGCTGTTGTCCATGTGCTGCAGTTCTGGGCATGTCTGTGGGTTGTGCTGCTGCTGGTTTCATGTCATTCTATAATGAGAAGACATTTGTGGTCTTGGGAGTGCTACAAGAGGATAGAAGAGGCGGATGAAGGCTCAACTAAAGAAACAAAACAGTGGCTTAGTGCCCAGGGCGGTCGGGCATACATGTTGGACGTCACGGCCATATATGCACCTCTTGTAGGAAGAAGCTATATCGAGTTGAGCACTTTTGTGTATGTTGTTTTGTTCAGGAGCTCCAGGTGTACAGTTCATAGTTCTTTTGTGTATTTTGTTTTGTTCAGGAGCTCCATCGGTAGAGCTCATATATCCTTTGTGATAATTTTGTGCGATGCAACCTTTTGTATAGTGAGGGGTGTCTCACTAGCTGATGTACTTGTCCCAAACCTACGGGAGGCACCATGTAATTTTCTAACTTTTAATGAAGCTTTTATTTTGATGTCAAAAAAATATACTCTTTCTGTCCTCTCTCCTGCCAAAGAAAGTCAACAAAGAAAGGTAATCCGAGATTGCCGTGCATGATATGAAGAAAAAAAATAGAATATATCATTTTCACTCTCCCACAGAAAGATCATCCTTATTCTTAACCGCTTTGCTGTTGAACTACCATTCTTATTCTTCTTCTTTCTATTGTCGTGTCTATTGTTTACGGAAGCGTCACTTTACTTTTTGCTATTCCTATTTTCTCCTTGTCGCTCTTGTTCTTGCTTACTTGGTACTCAGCAGTCTGTTATGTTTTTGACAACATGAGAGACTCTAAGTGACAACAAAGACAGAACTTCGACCTACATACTAGCCCGAGAAATGAGCCAATTACTTACAAAATAAAGGATTTCATTGAACTCTCTCCAATTACCACCTACTAACTTGAAAGACATAGATCTGTCCATTGACTGACTATTTGTCCACAAATAAGGGCGAAATCAAGCAATTGCGATTTACATTTAACAAAGTTAAGGGATCAAGGAGCGATTATAGGTGAAATTAAAACGCAAACAATTTATGCTGACTTGTAAGAAGAAAGGGGCCTTCATCCATATGAGAAACTTGTGCATATGACGTTGCATATCCCCTACGCTTTTTAAAGCAAACAAGACAAAGGGAACCACAAGCGAAAATCTGAAAAGAACAAGTACTAACGTGCAAAAAGAGAACGAAGCTTTACCCCAGATAACGCAAGCACTCCCGATTCCCTCCTGAACATTCAACAATGAATCAAATACCATCATCGTCATCAATGATCCCATCACTAACCCACGTCTTAACCCATCCAACCACAACCCCATCCCTCCACTCCCAGCTCTTCATCTCCTCACAATCCGCACGTGTCCACCGCCACCTCGCTTATACCTCTTCTCCGCAAAGCTCCGGGCGACCTCCTCCTCTGGCCTCCTCTCCCTATTCCTCCGCGCCTCGCCCCGCCCCTCTCATCGTGGAGGCGAATGCCCCGTCGCAGCCGCCGCCGCTCGCTGCGTCAATCGGCCTGGTGCCCGCCGCCGGAGAACGTCGGGCCGCAGGAGAGAGGCGTATGTTAGGAGAGCTGAGGGGGAGCCTTGGGATAAAGGTGCGCTTTGCTGGCGCGCCTGGGCACCGAAATCTGGTGCTTCTGCTGGGGCTCTTTTGGGATCCCATGTGGATGAGGCCGAGGGCTGAATAGGGGTAACGGTGTAATTTAACTTGTTTGATTTTGTCAGAGGAGAAATGCTGTTATGCAATATCAAGTAAATGAGGAAATGAATATATTTTCTTTTTCAGAAGATTTTTTTTTGGAAAATATTTTTTGTATGATTATTAGGGGCTGGTTTGGTTTGTGGATTAATATTTGATGTATGTAATAGATTTTTAAAAATCTATGATAGATTTTTTAAAATCTATAACTAAAATTGTGCTTGTTTGTTATGGATATTAAAGAAGATTTACATGAGGGGTAATATCCAATAAAATTTTGTATGGATATTAAAGGATTTCTGGCTAAATTCACAAATCCATTTCAAATCAACGTAACTATAGGGTATTACATTTGATGCCTTTATCCTATGTGACATCCCTAAATCCGTGCATAAAAAATGATAAACAAACTATGTATATTATCTTATCTAATCTAATCTAATCTAATCTAATACTATTCTAAAAGTGGATTGGCATGTTAAAACATTTCTTCCGAAAATGCCCTTTTAAACATAAATCTAATACTATTCTAAAAGTGGATTGGCATGTTAAAACATTTCTTCCGAAAATGCCCTTTTAAACATATACATACATACATAAAATACATGCATCCTTAAACATATACATACATACATAAAATACATGCATCCATACATAAACAATACTCATACATACATAATAACACTCAATTAAATGCATGCTTTTTTTAACATATACATGCATATATAAAATACATGCATCCATACATAAACTATACCCATACATACATAACCCCAAATTAAATGCATATTCATAACCCAAAAAACATGAATGTTTTATATTAAATACTCACACTGAATGGTTAAAGACGTTTCATGCATAACCCCCAAAAAACATGAATGTTTTATATTAAATACTCACACGGAATGGTTAAAGACGTTTCATGTTTCAATCGATATAAGTCCAAACTCACTTTCATTACATACATACATAAAATACATGCATCCATACATAAACAATACTCATACATACATAATAACCCTCAATTAAATGCATGCCTTTTTTAACATATACATGCATATATAAAATACATGCATCCATACATAAACTATACCCATACATACATAACCCCAAATTAAATGCATATTCATAACCCAAAAAACATGAATGTTTTATATTAAATACTCACACTGAATAGTTAAAGACGTTTCATGCATAACCCCCCAAAAACATGAATGTTTTATATTAAATACTCACACGGAATGGTTAAAGACGTTTCATGTTTCAATCGATATAAGTCCAAACTCACTTTCATTACATACATACATAAAATACATGCATCCATACATAAACAATACTCATACATACATAATAACCCTCAATTAAATGCATGCCTTTTTTAACATATACATGCATATATAAAATACATGCATCCATACATAAACTATACCCATACATACATAACCCCAAATTAAATGCATATTCATAACCAAAAAAAACATGAATGTTTTATATTAAATACTCACACGGAATGGTTAAAGACGTTTCATGCATAACCCCCAAAACACATGAATGTTTTATATTAAATACTCACACGGAATGGTTAAAGACATTTCATGTTTCAATCGATATAAGTCCAAACTCACTTTCATTTGTTTACATTTTTGTAACCTCCCATCAACATATTAATCTCTTTCATTAACTTTATTTCCGTTACTAAAAATAACAATAATTATTTCCGTTAACTATTATTACTAACAAAGTCGATTATAAATATTATATATACTAATTCCACTTCAAATGCAACTCTGCACAATTTCAAAGGTCTCAACTCTGCACAATAGTTTCTCATAAAATTAAATTAGTTTTTAATTACTATTTTTCTCAAAATTTGCAGGTTAGACTTTGATTTTTTTGGAGCTAGCACCATGCATCTTCAATATTAAATGAATGCAATGATACAAGACTATTTTTTTTTAATACTTATTTTTCTCAAAGTTGGGGTGTGGTAGACAACATTCGAGGATGAAAATGCAGCCATTAATGGATGCTTGCAGGATGATGGTGCATGCAATTGTTGAAGATTTGACTGATATTGAGGCGAAGTACTTTCAGTTTGATTCTCGACAAGGTTTTGCTAGAAAAAAATCCTTTTTGTTGGCTCTCTCTTTTATATTTACATTGTTGTATCTTTCTTTCAAGAGGTCTAGAAATTAGTTGATTGTCGTGGACAAGTGTTTAGGAAGTATGAAAGAGTTGATATTATTAAATGAATTAAAAACGTAGATTTTTCATGATCATGATTAAAAACGCAGATTTTTCATGATCATGAAAGTATGAAAGAGTTGATGTTCAATAACTAACATCAACAGTTTGGCACCCACCGTGGGGCCCCCATCATCTAAGGAAGTTTGAGACCCTAACACCACTATAATCCACAATTAACCCCCTGTTCGATAACTGACATCAATAATTTGGCACCCACCTTGGGCTCAAGGTGTCAACTTAGCAAAATTTAACCTATTTGTTTTTGCATGGATTTGGGTTGGAGATTAATGCTTAGTGACGTATGCATGGTGAGAGTAGACAATCTTCTAATCTACTAAGGTTTGAGCCACACCAAAGATTTAGAAGAAAAAGAGAAGAAAAGAAAAAAATTGAGGGTCCCCTCCCTGAATGATCCTTCGACCCACTCCCTAAAGAACCGCATGCGGGCTATGTCACTCTAGCTCAGTTGGAAGAATCCACTTAGAGGATGTCTCAATCTTTCCAGCAACAGTTTGCTGCTTTCACTAGTGAAACTACTCAACCGAATTCCTCCCCGATAACCCTCCTCATCATTTTTTCCTCCTCCACCTTCGAAGGCCAACCATCACTTGTTCATCTACCCTCGCCTGGGTGTGCCACATAGGTTGGACAGCAAGGAGACTATATCGAGTACGTGTATCCCCTACCTCGCTAGAAAACTCACTTTTCAGCTCCTCCTCAACACTATTAGCAGTATGTGGAAGCAACGAGGGAGAGCCCAAGCTTCAATTATGATGGCCAAGTACACGCTGCGGGGCGGCATCATTGGCCCTCGGCATCCTTATGTTGATTTAGACCCCTCAACCACCAACCTTGTGTCTGGATATGACTGGACCTTCTAGCCAATCACTGAGGCAATTCGGGGGCACACTCCCCTCACTGACTGGATTATGAAGTCCATTTGTGATATATTCAAGACGCCTCATGTAAAGAAGTATAAGGGTGAAGGAGATCCAGTTGAGCATGTTGTTTTCGGTAAAAGTTGCTGTTTTCATTGATATTCTCTTTTTGAGATCTGTTACAACTTCAAGCGT